ATCCTTCGGAGTGGTACCTCGACACCGGAGCTTCGTCACACATGGCTTCTAACTCCGGTAATCTCTCTCGTCCTACTCCCGTCTACAATTCCCTCCCGATCACCAGCGCCACACTGCCAATGACTCACCATGCCTCCTCCTCCATTCCCACAACCAAAACCTCTCTTCTTCTTAACAAGTCCTAGTTTCACCGTCCCTAGTCAAGAATCTTATTTCTGTTCGATCTTTAACACGCGACAACAATGTCTCGGTGGAATTTGACCCTTTCGTTTTTTCTGTCAAGGATCTTCCAACCAATTCGGTGATCCTCCGCTGTGATAGTACCGGCGACATCTATCCTCTGGCACCTTCAGCGCCGGAGGCCCTCGCCGTCACCGCTCCCAGCCTCGACCTTTGGCATCAACGGTTCGGTCATCCTGGTCGCCACATACTCCACCAGTCGCTCCCCAGCCTCCAGTTCACCTCCACTGCAGCGTCAACAAAGATCTGTGATGCTTGTCAGTTTGGCAAGCATGTTCGTTTACCTTTTACTTCTTCTAGTTCAGTTTCATATGTTCCCTTTCAAATAGTACACGCCGATGTTTGGACCTCTCCTGTAATTAGCTTTTCCGGTTTCAAGTACTACCTTGTTTTGATCGATGACTACACTCATTATGTATGGACGTTTCCTCTGCGTGCAAAGTCTGAAACCCTTGCCTGTCTACTGAATTTTCATTCATATGTGAGCACCCAGTTTCAGCTACCACTGCTTGCCCTCCAATCCGACAACGGAAAGGAGTTTGACAACAATGCACTGCGTTCTCACCTTGCCACACATGGCGTTGCCCTTCGGCTCTCCTGTCCTTATACTTCTCCTTAGAAAGGGAAAGCTGAGCGCATCCTCCGGGCTCTGAACGACTGCGTCCGCACACTCATCCATGCCGGCATGCCTGCTGAATATTGGGCCGAGGCATTGAGCACAGCCACCCATCTCATCAATAGCCGGCCCTGTCAGACCAGCGGCACGGTCACTCCATTCGAGCGTCTGCTCGGTGCTCCTCCCACTTACGAGCAGCTACGCGTCTTCGGCTGCCTGTGTTTTCCCAATCAGGCAGCGACAACACCTCACAAACTCAGTGCCCGATCCACCCCCTGTGCTTTCCTCGGGTATCTACCGGATCATCGCGGATATAGGTGTCTTGATCTTCAGACACGCCGTGTAATCACTTCTCGTCACGTCGTTTTCGACGAAATGCAATTCCTTTTCGCTGTCAGGTTTCAGCGCCGGTGCAGCACATCGTCGATTGCCTTCGCGCTGAATTCGCCGTCAAAGACCTCGGCGAACTCCGCTTCTTCCTCGGCATCGACGTCAAGCGAACCGCGGCTGGCTTCTACCTCTCCCAAGAACGGTATGCTGAGGACATCCTGGAGCGTGCGGGTATGACAAATTGCAAACCCGTGTCCACTCCAGTCGGCTCTAGAGGGAAACTGATCGCCGACGGTGCGGCGATGGACGACGCCTCCGACTACCGAAGTCTGGCTGGCGCGCTCATGTACCTCACCGTCATGCGTCCGGATCTTGCGTTTGCAGTGCAGCAGGCCTGCTTGCACATGCACGATCCACACGTTCCGCACATGACGATGCTGAAGCGGATACTGTGCTATGTCCGAGGACGACGTCGCACGACCTTCTTCTGCGCCCGTCGCCCACGCTCGATATCACGGCCTACAGCGACGGACCGTGTCCCGATCCAGCGCCGAAGCTGTGTGGCGAACGTGGCGGCCGAGTGCATCTGGCTGCGCCAAGCCGCCAACTCCTAGGCGAACTTCACTGTCACCTCGAGAAGGCTACGGTGGCGCATACTGCGACAACATATCGGCGGTATACATGTGCTCCAACCCTGTGCATCATAAACGCACCAAGCACATCGAACTCGACATCCACTTCGTTCGTGAGCGCGTCCAGCTCGGCGACCTCCGCGTTCCGACCGGCGAATAATACGCGGACATCATGACGAAGGGTCTTCCTAGATTTTCGGTCTAGTCTTTGCGTTGCCGCCATCACACGCCAGACTGCGGGGTGTGGGGGGTGGGGGGGGGGTTGTTGAGTATACATGTATTGTAGACTTGTGTAACTGCTCGCCACGGTGAGCGCGGTCACCACGTGCCCTGTACTCGTGCACGACGTGCACCGGTTGTAGATTGACTCGGTTGCCAAAGGCAACCTCTTGAGACGTACACTACATATACACTATGAGATCAATACAGTAAGGTGTTGGCTCCCATTATCATTCTCTACAGAGGTGTAGAGCAACGGATGTACTCGTATGCGTAGTGTGTACACGCCGCCGCTGCATGCCTGTATGCCAGGCGCCCTCCCATCGTTCCATCCCATGCACAAGCAAACGGAGCTGTCTTGGACTACCCTTCTCAGATTCCCCTTTCCACTTCCACGAAATTCCAAATTTATCAAGCTTGTTTAAATTAAATTACTTATTACAGTATTTCGGATGAGTTAACCACTGTACCTCAACACTAAACGAACCCCGATATGTTTCGCCAATTCGCCAAAACGTACGCCATTCTGCTCGGCTCAAATCTGGAGTAGTACGAGTAATCATGACCTTATAGGTGAAGCATTTGTGTTTACGGCCCTGCCTGCTTCAAGGATTAGTAGTGATTTTGCTCCCATTTTTTGAATCCGGTGTACAGCTACTGGTGAGTGCAGTAGAGTGTAGGTTGAGTTGCTAACTTGCTAGGACTAGGAGTCCATTTAAACGAGACAGGAGAGTGATATTGATTTCTTATCGTGTTAGGCATAATAGTCCACTCGGACAACACGTGAGAGTGACACCTTAGTTCCTATCATATTAGGGCTATTAGTTCACTCTGACGAGACATGAGAGTGATTAGATCATGTTAGACCTATCAGTCCACTTGAACTACATGTAAGGTGATCGGCTCACTTCCTTTCATGTTAGGCCTATCAGTCAACTTAGAGGAGATGTGAGAGTGTCGGTTGAGTTTTGTATCGTTTTAGGACTGCGAGTCCACTCAGACTACACGTAAGAGTGATCGATTCAATCTTCTTATTAGTACATTTGAATATTCAAAAGGCGAGACCTAAACATTGTACTACAAGATCCAAAATTTAGAATTGCACTTAGAACATAGGATCCTTCTACTAGAGTACTAAGCACATCGTGAACTTCTACTAGCATTATATTAACTTTGTACACCTAGTTCTGAAACTTTGTAATTCAAAAATTTATACTAGTGCATTTCAAACTTTGTACTGATAAATACAAAACTTTATAATCACATATTAAAACTCAATAAATCAACTAGTCGGGCCATGCTCATGCACCATGTGTGCCATGCCAGGGACCTGAGCGTATTCACAAAAAAAAAAGAAGAAAAAATTGTTTGCCACGAAAAAATAAATATTTTTAATCCAATTTATTGTTCCCTATTTGTCCTATTTTACAAAATAAAAATAATATATATATTTCATATATTACGTAGAGGTAATACATGATCAACCATCCAAATCTAATTAAGTGGACGGCTCCAGTCATTTTGATGTACCTTAGCAAATGCCAAATATAAAAAGCGTAGTTATTGTTATGTTCCAACTATTTATCCCTAGTTAAAATTTCTGAAAGAAAGTAAGCAATACCATTTTTTTTGAAGCAATACCATTTCATTTATTAATACTATAGATGGGCATTTTACTTGGTTTTCATATTCGTGCGCATTGTGTGGTGCAGATAAACATTGCTGAACAGAGTGCTGCGTACTTGTTTATCCATTTATTATCACCGCTAATAAAAATCGCTGAACAGAGTGCGCAAACAGGAAGAGTAAAGTAATAAATAAAAACAGACAGAAAGAGCGATGCGACTCGGTTGGTGTGTGGTGGCCCTGCAAAAAAATATCTTCGTCTCAGGTCAAGTCGCCGCAGCAACTCTACATGTGTGGTTGGTGTCTAGAAGGATGGTTCGGTGCTTATCAGGAGCAACATATCCTCTTCTCGGATGCTTCCCAATTGTTTTCCAGGATCTATCCCAGGATCCCATTTGCCATTATCGATGCGGTCAGGCCTACTCCTGTCTCTTGAAGCCTGACGAAGTTCTTCTCCAGGTTAGTTGTAATCTTGTCCTCCCTGGGATCCTGTCCTATATATGTGTGTTCCAGCAGCCTGCTTCTAGTTATAAGAACGCTTTTACCTTGGAGCAACACTTCATGATTTCTGTCCTCCCGAGATCCAAAAGTCACCACCTTTCTTAGCTGTCTAGATCAAAGCAATAAATTATTCTGTGCATACAAACTTATATTTCAGATTCACGCTGGAGTCTTGTACTCTCCCAGAATGATAATCATATTTTATATAGGGAAAAGTTAAGTTTTACAAATAATTAATCAAATTCTATACAAGTTTATATAGGACATAAAACTTGCCCAAATAGATTTGTATTTAAAGTGTTTCTAAGATGATATTGATTCATTAGCAAATGAAAACATATTGTAAAAGAAATTAAAGGTCAAACCGATTTGTATGACTTTTTACTCGTCAAAATAGGATTACCATTTCCGAAAGGAGGAAGTACTAAACTTGCAAAGTTTATTAAAGATTAGTCCTCGGTACTCATTAAACAGAGAAGTTCATTCAATACAACATAAGTTCACACTAGGTTGTAAAGCATAGGCAAGCCAAAGGTGGTGACTTGAAAAGAAAAGCGATGCAACTTCTAGCCCATACACTCTTCACCTATATTATTTCTCAGGGGGTGAATGCAATACAACATATGACAATTTGGCTATTTGGGTATCAACATGCTCACACTATTTTATTTTGCCTTCTGTGTTGCACAGTATTGTTGTTTGGCACAAATCTTTCATTCACATGTAACCAACCATCCTACTTATTGAAGCACTATTATATCTACTTTGTGGAAGACAAGCAGATGTTTCCTATTATGTGAAACTATTTGTGTCGTCAGAGTTTTTTTTACAAAAGAATGGACGATTCTAAGTGTAGCAGTGATGATATGCTGGAGTGCATATTACAAGATCCCCATTCAATGCCAAGAGTTATGACATTAGAATATTTGAAGAGGATCACAGATAATTTCTCTGACAAGCGATTACTCGGTGAAGGTGGGTTTGGTAAGGTTTATAAGGTAAGATTAAACCATAATATCTTTCCCTCCTCACAAATTTATGTAATCAGCCTTATTTATCCAGAAATCCATATCCATGCATGTTAATATTAGAGTGTAAACAGGGAGAGCTTGAAAATGGGAAAATGATTGCCGTGAAGAAGTTTATTATTAAACGACAGTTAAGAAATCTAGATGATCAGGAGATGCAGTTTAAGAATGAGGTGGTTGCTCTTATGAGTCTCAGGCACCCAAATATAGTACGATGTGTAGGCTATTGTTTCGAAACAAGCAAAAAACTTGTACCATGCAATGGAACTTTTGTTCTTGCGGAATCGCAGCAGGAGATGTTACTTTGCTTGGAGTATCTAACAATGGGCAGCCTGGATGAACGTCTTCAAGGTACGGTAATAGAGTCTTTCCCTTTTTTTCAACTATTGGGATTATTTCAAATTATGTGTTTTGTTAGCATCTCCACTACAACAATAACGCATTCTATCAACAAATACCATCAACTATTGAGAGAAAAAACAAGATTTGAGCAGAATCTAGGTGCCTTTAGATGACGAAAAAAGTAGGCACTCAAATTTTCCAAGACAAGAATTAGCATTTGGATTGTTGAAAGGGGTCTTTGGATGGCTAGAGAGAGTGGGGGTTTAATATCCTAATCAAAAATTTAAACAAAGAACAATACTTAGGCAACAAGGTTAGTACAAAACGAGGCCCTAATAAGCACTACTTGGAAGCCTTCACAAGTCTAGTGATTAAGCTAGCTAAGTTACGTCTCTACTATAGGAAAGTAATTGTTCAAATGAAACAAGAGTAGAGGAATGCTAACCACAAGAGAGACAAAGATTTATCCCCATGGTTTGGTTGTTTGCCAACAACCTATGTCCATGTTGAGGTAAGTCCTAGGATCGCGGCCTCTCTATCAAGTCTCAACCCGGCAATGTTGCCTCTTCCACTAATGGCTTGATCTCTAGGACGGATTCGATTACAAGGCACTCTTCAAGCCTCTATTACACTTGAGTTGCTATTTGCCTCGTCGGCGGAGAATGAGCACAAGAGCCCCTCACAAATCCTCCTCCGGAGCACCACACAATCTTCTTCTTGAACTTGATCGCCTTCAATGTGACTTGGCCTTGTTGACCACCATTTTACTTTAGTCACGGTTTGATCCCTCTCCAAGCTTCTTCACCACCATGGGGCAGTTATCTTATGGAAGTTGAACTTGTAGCTTGATGCCTCTCAACACAATCAAGTACTTAGGATTGCTAGCTCATGCACAAGTTTCAACATAACGACTAGGACATAGAACCATAGAGGAAATAGTGGCCATGCCTACATTTGAAGTTTTTGATTTTCAATGCATGTTCTAGAACACAAATTATGATCTACATCAACCACATACCAGTAAGAATGTTATGCTTATGCACCATATAATTGTACCTTGCAAGTGCTAGGAGGCATCTTTTCCCATCTCCAAATGCTCATGGACATGATCTACTTAGTTTAAAATGGGTACGAAACTCTCTAACTATGACTGCCAGGTGCAGTCTTGATCCAGCAGTGACCCTCATCTTGTTAGTGTCGGGTTGAGGCTCTAATCGGCAGCAATAAGAGCAACCACAATGTTGCAGAAAAGTAGTCCATAGGCATTAGAATATTGTCTATTAGCTAGCTGAAACATTGTAGATGTAGTCTATAGAGCAGTCCATAAGTAAAGGTATCCATAGTCCTATGGACTACCCATAAGGAATAAACAAATAATTCTTCTCGCTGTTGCCTCTCTCTTCCTTGCCTCTCTCATATGTACTACCGAATCCATATATACATTATGGTTGCTCTAAATACCTATCACTGTCGGTCTTTGACCTGACAGTGATACCGACATCCCATAACTGGCCGATTACTACCCTCTGCCGGCTCTGATTCCGGCAATGATCCTTGGATCTGGGGTAGTTTTTGGTGGTTTGAGGATTGAGAAATTTTGATGTGGTGCATCCAACTTATGTGGAATTGACCATTTCACATTGTAAGTGGCCAAATTTGCTAGGCACCATTTGCAATGTCAAACAGTCATATCTCTCCATTGCAAAAATTCCCTAAAAAGGGAAATGAAATTTACGAGTTGTTGTTTAATTGCAGATGAATCTTCTGGACTTGATTGGCGCACATGCTACAAAATAATTAAGGGGGTTTGTTGTGGTTTACATTACCTTCATAAGGATTGTAGTCCTCAAAATAATAAAGCTTTCATCGTTCACTTGGACCTAAAACCTGCTAACATATTGCTCGATGAAAATATGGTGCCAAAAGTTGCAGATTTTGGTCTGGCCAAACTCCTTTGTGATAGGAATACTCAAATTGGCCCCGTTCGAGGAACATAGTAAGTTACTAATCTGTTGATACAATATTGCTTACAAAATATTTTTTCTTTCTAGCTTTCTTTAGCTTAACCCTTTAAAGTTGATGAAACACTCATGTTGTGATGCAGTGGTTACATGGCACCAGAATACGTAAGTGAAGGTAAAATAACAACTATGGCAGACATATACAGTTTGGGTGTAGTAATCATAGAGATCATAACAGGTTGCAAACCTTATCCTTATATCGATCTTGATATCGAACAAGTAAGAAACTGTTCTTTTACACATTCAATGTATCTGATGGTCAATTTTAATTATCTTTTTGTTTTAGCACTGCATAGTATCAAACTTTTGTTAATATTTTCCAGATAATTAACAAATGGAGAAACAAGTCGGCAGAAGCACTATCATCAGTAGATTGCCAACAGTTAATGAATTGTCTTGAAATAGGTAAATGGTGCATCAAAAGTGAACGAAATGAAAGGCCCACTACAGGGCAAATTATCGAGAAGCTTAGTTTGGAAAGCATAGACTGCAGTCTCGACAGTGAAGGGCCCCTTCGCAAAAAAACAAAAAAAAATTGTGACATGCCTCCTGAAGACCAGGTATTATGACTTCAAAGAATCAATTAATTTGCTTGACGCCACTGACACTCCCAATGTTGGGTGTCTATAGCTATTTCCAAAAACATGCTAAGAATACATTCTATTCATGCTAACATATAATAGGGCCACTGGCTATCCCCCAACGCATAATTTTTGTTTCTTGTCTAGTATAATTTGTGCCAAACTTTGTTATAGCACAAGGTACTAACTCTTTCGTTTTCCTTATTAAATTCTTGCCACATTAGCTTTCATCCTATGAGGACGTGCACTAACATCCACAGTAGCCTAGCAGTTTATATATTTTATATAGAAGAGTGTGTAGTAGAGCACTGGCTACTGGGTGGAACATACTTATTTTTTTTCTCTATAATCTGTATTAATTATTACTGTCTTCCAGGAAGAAGAAATTATTATGAAGATTAAGGAGCACGTGGAGAAGTTGCGTGAGAAGAGCAGAGAAGTCCGTGACAAGATTGAGCTTGCCAAGGGAAATGGCATGGTAGCAACAAACAAGATCAAAACCTGGCTGGCTCGAGCAGATACCATCCTATCTGACGCGATGGCTGTCTGTGAGTCCAAGCAAATTGGGTTCAACTGGGATACTAGAATTGCCGCTGCACAGCTTTCTCAGCTGCGAGAATGTCTCAGTGATCAACCTAGGGATATTGCACAGCCGCCATCTGTCCTTCATATTGATGTCCACGCTGCTCTACTGCCAAGTCAGGTGCTTTTTGTTGAACAAGCTCGCCAGCACATCATTGAGTATACAGAGGGGATGATCGGAATATGGGGTCCAGTTGGTGTTGGGAAAACACTCCTTCTCAAGGCGATCAACAATTCATTTGAAACAGGAAACTCCTTGAATCCTAGTTCATCAAACAGAAGGGACCCTCCATTTGACTTTGTTATCTATATGACGGCCTTAGAAGACTGTTCGGTGCAAAGTATCCAATCTGAAATTATTCAACGGCTCAAAATGCATGACCGTGGTGATTCATTAACCACTCAAGCCACCAGGATATCTAAATTCCTTCAGGATAAAAGTTTTCTTGTTTTGCTAGATGGCCTTCACTACAATCTGAACCTAGCAGAAGTTGGCCTACCACCCCTTGGAAATCAAGGCCAATCGAAGCGAAAAGTTGTAATCACAACAAGATCACGAAGCTTGTGTGATCAGATGCGTGTGAACAGAACTATAAATGTCCCCAGCCTAAAAATTGATGAAGCACTTGAGTTGTTCCAAGAATGTATTGGTAATGATAGTCTTTATTCTAAACCCCGCATCGGAGCACTTGCAAAAGATCTTGTGGACCAACTAAGAGCTCTACCATCAGAACTGATAAGAATAGGCAGCGCAATGCGCGGAAAAGGGGAACCAGGACAGTGGCAGAATATCATTGGTGTTGCCAAGGAATTGATGCATATCAAGGATCAAGAAGCATCATCGCTGGTATGTCTTTACAGTTAACTCAAATTTGGTAACAACATTTTTGCTAACTTATCTTTGTCACTAGTTACTAATATTAATTAATGCCTTCCAGACTGAAGGAATTGTTATTACAAAGCTTAAGCAATGTTTGCAAAACTTGCGTGGGAGGAGAAATGATGTCAATCACGAGATTGAGTTTGGAAAGCGAGAGGGCAAGGTAGCAACAAATCAGATTAACAACTGGCTGGCTAGCGTGGATACCAACATCTCTGTTGGGATGGTTATCTGTGAATCTGAGCAAAATGAGTTGAACTGGGATCTCAGTGTGATTGCAGCTGGCATGCTTCGTCGGCTCCAAGAATGTCTCAGTGGTCAACCCAGCGTTGTTACAGTGGAAGCATTGCCACCTTCCGTCCAAGAGATTCCATGTTCGTCCACAGAGCAGCAGCCTTCCAGAGATAAAATATTTGGAGAGGCTATGGAGTATATTAAGCATAGTTCAGTGGGTGTCATTGGAATCTGGGGACTGGGCGGAGTGGGCAAGACCCATCTTCTCACAAAGATCAACAATGCTTTTCTTGGGGACTCATTGTTTGATTATGTTGTCTTCGTTACGGCCTCCAAAGAGGGTTCAGTGGAAAAAATCCAAGACGAAATTGGCAAGAAGCTCAAGCTCAAGTGGGAAGGCGATGATGTTAAATCTCGAGCTAACAACATTTTTAAATCCCTGAAAACAATAAAATTTCTGATACTATTAGATGACGTTTGGAATCGGATTGATATGGAAGCAGTGGGCATACCGTATCGCCTTGGAAGAAGCAAAGTGGTTCTCACAACAAGATCAAAAACGGTGTGTGGTCAAATGGACGTAAGAAAAGAGATCAACGTGGCATGCTTGCCAGATGATGAGGCCTGGCAGCTATTTCAAGACAAGGTCGGACAGGGGACTCTATCTTCCAGTCCTCGTATTGAAGCTCTTGCAAAGGAACTTATGGAGGAAATGAAGGGCTTGCCATTAGCTTTGATAACTGTCGGAAGGGCAATGTACGGCAAAAGTAATCCGAAACAATGGGAATCTGCCATTCATTACATGAAACAGTCATGCTGTGACGGGGATGATCAGGACCTCCATATGGAAAATGATGTTTTCAGAATACTCATGTTCAGTTATGATAGCCTAAGAAATGAAACCTTGAGACAGTGTTTGTTGACTTGCTCACTATGGCCAGAGGATAAAGAGATTTTGATGGGGGACCTGATACAATGCTGGATTGGCTTAGGTCTAGTTGAAGAGTGTGATATACACAGTTCCTACAGAAAAGCACATTCTCTAATAGGGGAACTTACAGCTGCATGTTTGTTAGACAGTTGTGACACTAGGTTCCATAGTAGTGATTACATTCTTGCTAGAGGAAGGTGTCAGCAGAAGCAACTCCATAACGGCTGAGGCACCCTGGCATATCGGATCTGCAACAGCCTCAACAGCTCGCGCGCACTTCACGCGCACGCCGCGCCCTTGCATGCGCGCTCGCCGCGCCAGTGACTCGCTCACCACGCTCTCGCGTGCCCGGTCCTCGCGCTGCCTGCATGTCCGCTAGGAGCGCTCGCCCGTTCTCAGTGTAAAGCATGACCAAAGGCCCCGGATGTAATCCTATATATGTATACTGTAAATGATCAATGAAAGCTGTCCAGTTGTGCAATCTTATTCTACATGGTATCAGCCGCCTCCGATCCTACTCTCTCTCCGGCACATTCAGCTTCCGCTCCCATGGCTCCCTCTTCTCATGCCTCTGATTCTTCTTCCGACGACGGCTTTTCCGTCGCACCAGCCACCTCGTCTCAGATCCAAGGGATCTCTATTCGCCACCATGTTCCCGTCATTCTTGACATGGACGACGGCAACTTCGGCCAGTGGCGCCATTTCTTCGAGTCCGCCCTCGGCAAGTTCGGGCTGGAGGATCACGTCCACACCACTGCGCCGAACGACGTCCGCGATCGCGAGTGGCGCCGGATCGATTCCTGCGTCGTCAACTGGATCCTCGCGACAGTCTCAAGGCGTCTCTGACGTGCGTGCGCCGTGACAACCACGACGCGTTCTCCCTCTGGCACGCCGTCGAGGCGCTCTTCCACGACAACGAACTGCAACGTGCCGTCTTCCTCGAAACCGAACTGCGCTCTCTCCAACAAGGCGACATGTCGATGAAGCGACTATCGCACCAAGTTGAAGCGCATTGCCGACCAGCTGCGTGACATCGGCCACGCCGTCTCCGAGCCGAGCCAGGTGCTGAACCTCCTCCGCGGCCTCAATCCCCGGTACCGCTACGTCAAGCCGGTGATCACCTCCAAGTTCCCGCCGCACACCTTCCAAAGCGCCCGCTCTTTCCTCATCCTCGAGGAGCTCAGCTTCCAGCACGACTCCAACGCCGAGGCTGGACAGGCTCTAACTGCCGCCCACGGTGACCACAGCGGCGGCTCCAACAGCTCGGCTTTCTCCGGCGCCACGGACGGCTCCTCCGCTTTCTCCGCGCCGCGATCCAACAACGGCCGATCCGGCAACAGCGGCGGCCACGGGCGCTCCAACAACCGGTCTGTTCGGCGTCGCGGCCGCGGCAACGGCGGTGGCGGCGGTGGCTCGTCCCGGAACAGCGCCAACACCTCCACCAACCAGTCCGCGCCATGGGCCGCGGGCTACAACCCATGGCAGGGCATGGTGCAGGCTTGGCCCATGCCCTTCCGTGCCCCCGGCGCCAGCGTTTTGGGCCCCCGCCCACCGTTCCAGCCGCAACAGGCGATGGCGGCCGCTGCCCACCCCTCCAACGTCTTCGACAACAGTGCCCTCTACGCGGCGCTGAACGCGTCCGGCGTTCCTCACCATCCACCCAGCGCCGCCGACTGGTACTTCGACACTGGAGCCACTTCGCACATGTCGTCCTCTCCCGGTAACCTCCTTCCCTCCACCCTACAACCATCTTCTTCCATCATCACAGTGGGCAATGGTGCTCGTGTTCCAGTCACACACCAAGCACAAACGTTCATTCCCACTGTCACCAAATCTCTTCGTTTAAATGATGTTCTTGTTTCTCCAAATCTTATTAAGAACTTGATCTCAGTTCGTCGTTTAACACGTGACAACAATGTTTCTATTGAATTTGACCCTTTTGGCTTTTCCATAAAGGATCTTCCTACCAAGGTGGAGATGCTCCGATGTGAGAGCAGCGGTGATCTCTACCCTCTCCGGCCTCCATGCCACCAAGCTCTTCACATGTCCTCGGCGGCGTCCCCTGTGGCATCAATGGTGGGACACACCTGGGACATCCAGCTACCTCTCAAATTCTTCATAATTTTGCGTTTTCGTTGTAATAAGGCTGATGTTCATTCCATTTCGTCATGCCGGCTAGGCAAACACACTCGCTTTGCCATTTGATGCATCTGCATCACAGTCCTTCTTCCCATTTCAGCTCGTGCATTCCGGCGTTTGGACCTCGCCTTTGTGTTCAGCTACTCGGGTTATAAATATTATGTTGTGTTCCTCGATGATTACACTCACTATCTATGGACAATTCCATTACATAATAAGTCTGATGTCCTTTCAACCATCCGTATGCGTTCATCTCATATGTACATACTCAGTTCCGTCTCGCCAATCCTCGCCAGACGGACAATGGCAGGGAGTATGACTCCTTTGCTGCGCCTTCGCTCTCTTCTCTTGGCACTCAGCTACGGCTTTCGTGCCCTTACACATCGCAACAAAACGGGAAGGCTGAGCGCGTGCTACGCACTGTTAACGATTGTCTGCGAACTCTGTTGATTCACAGTGCAGCTCCCTTGGAGTTTTGGGCCGAGGCACTCGCCACAGCGACACACCTGATCAACCGCCGTCCGTGTCGAGCCACCGGAACCACTACACCGTACGAGCTGCTGTTCGGTACACCTCCGTCCTACGACGCGCTTCGTGTTTTTGGCTGCCGCTGCTTCCCCAACACCATCGCCACGTCGAGTCACAAACTCGCCGCGCGTTCTACGCCATGTGTCGACGAAATATGGTCGGCAGTCCACCGAGGGGGGTGCCCGCGGTGGTAGATTATCGGTAGGATGCGTGTGATCAGGAACCAGATGGTGACACAAGGCGCAGAGACAGTGATTTAGACAGGTTCGGGCCGTCTGATCGACGTAATACCCTACGTCCTGTGTCTTTGGTGTATTGTATTGAGATGTATACTGTCGGATCTGTTTTGATCTAGATGGATCTCTATGGATCTCTATGGATCTCTATGGATCTAGATGGATCTGTCCTCTAGGGGACCCTTGTCTCTCCTTATATACTCCGAAGAGACAAGGTTACAAGTAAAGTATCCAATTTGGTACTATTATAATATCTAGTACAACTTATAATCTTGATGTGCACGCCTTGATCTTACGGGCCGGGCCACCTCGGATGGTGCGGCCCATGTACCATCTTGTGGTACCCGGGGGTCTATCCCCCACAGCTAGTCCCCGAGCGCCATGTATTCTGATGCGACACGCCATTTCAACCTTCTCCGAACAGTGAGGCTTGAGTTCTTGACATCTCCGACCACCGTTGTCGCCGGAGAAGGAGGTTGTCCGAAGAATGTATGGTGCTCTTAAGAAGAAAGAAAAAGATTTCCGTCCTGGAAAGTGTGCCCACTTGTATTTCTGAAAAGAAATGTAAGTGCGTCCTGAAGCGTAGCGTCCTTGATCATCAGAGGCGTAGAGGTCGAAAAACAAACACATTCACCGCAAGGTGAAGTGTGCCCACTTAGTCCCCGAGCCTGGTAGTAGGTGACGTAGGCACGTGGTGCCAGGGTCTAAAAAGAATTCCCAGTTATGTTGAGAATCCAACCGTCGTACAGGCGATACAAGATGCACCGGCAGGTGCATCGTACCGATGTAGTCCCCGAGCTTGCTGGAAGGCGAGGTACGAGCCTTGTAGCAAGGTCTAAGTGAGAAAAAATATCCCAACTGTATGCGAGTTGCCAGTCACATGTAGTCGAGACGCAAAG